ATAATAAAATATTATAATTATAAAAATGAAGTTTTTAACTATAAATTATACAATCGGATAAATTATAATTTACTATATATTTTTAGCATAAAATATTATAGTAATGTTTATAAAAATGGAGTTTCTAATCATTATTATTTTACCAAGCAATTATAGTCATAAATATCATTTTTCTCTCACGAGGAAGCTGTTACAACTGTCTGGAACAGATTCGATTCTTCTTGATATATGTTGTTAAAAAAATTTAAGAGATGCGTATTTTTTTAATATTGGCCAATTTAAGACTTAAAGGGTGAAATAATCCTTCAAAGCTTATAATTGATTCAAATTGATTATTAATAAAACGGTGAAATATATAAAAAATGTTTTAAACAAAATTTTTATGATTTTTGTACTTGATAATTGTATTTAGGTTTTTCAAAAATCTAATATTCAAAAATGTCTCCCTATTAAATTTTGTGATACCGTTCTATCCCTTAAATCTTAAAATTATAAATTTTAGATTTAAGATATAAAAAATACTATCTCTTACATTTTTAAAGTTTATAATAACAATATTTCAAGAAGAGTTAAATTGGTTCCCGATATTTATGAGAAGTTCCTTTAGTGCGAAAATAACTCAAGTGCAGAAGTGTTGTGAGAAAAAAAGAAAAAACATTAATTTAACGAATTAACACATGCTCGATCATTAACAATATACGACTGCATGGATTGAAGGACAATTGTCTTTCAAAAATTTTTTTTGTTTACGGCATTCATACATTTTTATCCTTTCATACTTTGCGAAATATCCGTGGCAGTTCTCGCCACATTTTACGTGCACGTAAATGAAATTATGGCGTCCGGCGTGAAAGATCATAAAAGGGAAGCTCGCGCAGAAGCATAGCATTGACCATTTCTACTGGATGTCATTATTTAATACGTCTACATGGGGTGTGTCAAACATTCTTGTCGAATGTTTCCGCTAATCATCGCCAAGTACAGTCACGTTGTGCGTGCATGTGCATACGTTATGCAAGGCAAATTCGCATACAGGGTATCCCAGAAATCGCGTATTTCCCTCACAATCCATCGCGCGGATCATTATACGTGTACAATTTGTTTGAATTAATACAATTGAAGGGACAGTTAAATAGAACGATGAATGATGAAGACAAGTTTTATCACGAGCGTTTATAAACATGAGGAAACTTTTATTAATTAATGCGCAAATTTGGAATAACAGGGTCTCATTTATTCGAGACGTTAAAATTCAAGATCGTGAGGACCGAGAAGTGGCGAGGAGGCGTTAAGATCTGGAACACCCCGTATACGCGCATAATAGGGCTTGATAGCGAAAAATCGTCATCTCCCACCGTCTTGACGTAGTTGACGGTCTCGGCGGTCGCTTCGGTGAGGGCCCGGCGTAGTCGTGTCCGTCGCACCTGCGACAGCGTACGTGGACATAGTACGACGCCCTGGCCACCCTGGGTACCGGAAGCGGCGCCGGCGGATGCTGGGCCGGCTGCCGCGGCCATGGAGGAGGGCGCCGTCGCCGCCGCCATCGTCGACGAGGACGACTTGCACCACCACGGGAACTGAGTGGGCGTTATGCCGATATAACAACGTGGTTAATTAATACACCCACTTCCTGCTCGCGAGCGTTTCGCGGTGCACGTGGACGACGTGACAGACAGCACAAGTGCAAGATAGCATTAGACAGACACGTGGTCGTGGACGGACACGGGATCGGTTGCACCAACGATTATCGTGGAACCTAACTTCGGTCGGCTCTCTGGTAGCAGGCCTAGCTACGATGACTAAAGATCTACATCTGTCCTACATATCAACTATGGTGAACTTGATCAAGATAATGTCGTTAGACCTAACAAGAATGGCCTTGATGATTATTAATTCTGATTCTCTTTCTAGATTTTTTTGATCCCTTTTACATTTTTCACTCTAACTACGACGAAGACAAAGAAAATTTGGCTTGAGGTTGCTCTAGTGTTGCAATTAAGTTTAAGGCAGGATTGAGAAAGCTACTTTGTAAAAGTAACTAGTTACAGTTTTTTATTTCGAAAAGTAACTACTTACTGTTACAAGTTACCGATTCTGAAAAGTAACATGTTATAATATTTAAAAAGATAACGAGTCGCTACTTTTCAGTTACTTTTTGTTAATTTTTTGTAATTTTTTGCATTTTAAATATATAAGAATCTTACTTCTATGTACTTCTATCATTAAATTATTCTATTTATACAAATTATTTGGTTATATGCTGTATTAATAACAAAATTCAGAGTTTTATATATATATATATAATATGATATATTTATATGATAAAATAATATTGAAATCTCAAAATTATGAGATCAATATTCAATGTAATAAGAAGTAATAAAAGTCATATAAAAGGCTTCTAGTTTGATTCTTAGTATAGTATATCTGCAGAATACGATGATTATAAAGATAAAGATAAATTCCAATAACAAAAAATAATCAGTAATTGTTCACATTTAACATTTCATTTTTGTCATATGTTGACAAATAAGTTTGAAATACATAAACAACTATTAAATTAGTTCCTAGTTATAAAAAAATGTAACTAAATGAAGTTAAGTTATAGTTACTATAAAAAAAGTAATCTTCACTGTAACTTCGTTACAAGCAACGAGTTACTTTTTAACCCTGACTTAAAGGCCAGATATACTTAACTTGGTTAACCATTTAATAAGTTTTTTATTAGATTATAATGACGATTGAAAGAAGAAATATTTAATCAGATTGCGCTATGTTATCATAATGTACAGAAATTATTTTAGTGTTAGTTATCAGTTTTGCTTAAGCATTGTTGTTAAAAAAAAAAAGTGGGAGAAAATTCTGTTTAAATAACTCCAACTATATCTTAAATAAAAAAAATATTGAGGTAATAATTATTCGTATAAACCGATTATAATGGAACAGACTTTAGAGATGAACTGTAATTATTAATTAATTCTTATCCTCTACTCTCTGCTTCCTGGATTATTCTCGCTATAACGTAAACAAATAGAGATGAGATTTAGCCAACCGCAGTTAGCGGTAACCAACGTTGGTGCAACCAGAGAGAACCCAGAAATATAACAGACAGGTGACAATTCCTCTCCCACGTTACCGAGATATCTCTTCTTATCTCCCTCCGTATCTCAGCTCGTCCTAACATCGTTTTCTACCTCCGTCGCTCCTAAACAAGCGCTCATCATCTACGCCGACTGCTAGCTCGGCGCTACTGCTAAACTAAGAGTGGTCGGTCTAACCGAGATCAGCAGAGAGGCAAGTTCGAGTCGATTTATGAAAGTTGACAAACGCTAACAAACACATAACATGACGGAAATGCAGCAATTGTCGCCTCCTCGTTGACGAAACTGCCTGATGACATCTTGTTTCGCAAGATTTTCCAAACTCTGAATTTCTACACAGTACATCAATAAGTGAAATCGATGGTTTCGAGAGAACCTTCGAGAGACTCTTCGTTTGTAGCTCTTGTGACAGAATTCTAACGCGTTTAATACGCTTGATCAAAAAAAAAAAATATATATATATATATATATATATATATATATATATAAAATATATACTGTGCATTAAAAGGAATGCATAAAAAAGAA